TCCTTTAAGGCACTTTCCTGAAACCCCACTTGAGGACTTCTGCTTACTTTTTTACTGGCCACTCCTAGCTGTGAGGAGGGCTGAGAAATGTAGTCTCTAGCTTTTGCTTCTGTAAAAGTAAGGTTCTATTAGTAAGGAAAAATAAACTGGAAATTGGGTAGGGCGGCAGAAGCTTTTGTCTGAGGAGGAAAGAAAGTGCAAGGATTTACAGATGTAGATACATTTTTTTGATGCAAGAAAAGGAAATTGAATTGGTTAATGCTGAATATATTGGGGATTTCTGTGAATGTCTGCAGCAAGGTCATCATCAGAGAAAGAGGGTATCCACAGAGACCCTGAGAAGAATGGTGGAAAATTTACAGTAGTTTTAGAGGAAAATGAAGGGAACAGCAGCTGACCAGACTAGCATATAAAAGAATGTTGAGCAGCGTTAAGGGCTTAGCAGGAGTTGGAGATCATTAATTTCTCCTGGTATAAAATTGAATAGCTGTGGGATTTTCTGTTGCAGTGTTCAGCAAATAGGATACAGGAGCATGGTGAAATTCATTTCATGTTGTATGGGTGCTGGGTATGGGGGTTGCATAAGCTAGAAAAACTTGAGGGAAGGGAAAATTATGTTGGCAGAAATGGACACAGAAGGGCTAGAGGAGGTGTGGGACTTTTATTAAGATCTCAAAATGCAGGCAGGAGTCTATTGGGAGGGAAAGGAATATTAAGCAGAAGAATGACACAGGAGGTAGGAAGAGGTGGGAATGGACAAGACATGTTAGGAGACACAGTAAAGCAATGTGGTTGAGTGGGAGGGCTACAGGAAGGCCGTCATGGAAGGAGGGTATGGAAAGGGCACATCTGATAAAAATCAGGTAAAATACAAATTCTTTAGCCTCAAATTCCAAGTCATATCCTCCAGGCGGTGGAGATCTGATGAAGGTTATTGTGCAGGAGAGTAATTTAAGAAGATAATCATGGTAGCAGTTTGTTCCAAGGATGGGAGGGAGATTGGCTGAAGGAAAGAAAACTGGTCTAGGAGGCTAGCAAAGGAATCTGACATTCAGGAAACTATAAGAGAGGAAAGAGGGATAGAGTCAAAGGACAGAAAGTCACACTCTCCTCTGGGCTCCCAGCCCTTCTCACACTAAGGAATTTTTGCTCTAAGTTGTGAATACTTGCATAATGTTGCTCTCATCCCAGTGGGACTCCAGTGGGGTGTCTCTTTTTTCTTTTCTTTCTTTCTCTTTCTTCTTTCCTCCCACCCTCCCTTCTTTTCTTCCTTCCTTTTGTTTTCTTCTTTCTTTCCCTCCCTTCTTCCTTCCCTTTCTCCCTTCTGTATTCCTTTGTCCTTCCTCTTTCTTCTTCTTTCTTTCTTTCTTTCTTTCTTTCTTTCTTTCTTTCTTTCTTTCTCAAATACTTGCATAGTATTTACTGCTTACATACTGGATGCTGTACAAGGCACTGAAGATTCAGAGAAGGAAACATGATTCTCATGGGGAAAAGCACACAAGTAAGAGAACCAAGTGGAATTCAACAACAGTTCAACCAAGTAGAAGTGTGTGTCAGGTTTTGGGGGTACACAGAGTAGGAGACTCTATTCTATTGTGGGAGAGAGGTATCAATGGAATCCAGCCTGAGAAAATCACAAGGAAATCATGATGGGGGGAGGGAGTAGGGAAAGGGGGAAATAAAAGTGCAGGAAAGAGGGCTTCAGGAGCTAGCTGCTTGGGGAACCTGCATCACAGGGTTTGAGTGCAACAGTGAAGGGCCATGAAGTTGGAGAAATAAACAAGAATTGTCCCGTTTGTGTGTGTCCTGCTAAAGAATTTAGGCTTTATTCCAAACACATTAGAGGGTCCAGAAGGATTTTACACAGAAGAATGACATTAGCTTCTTTTTGGAGTCATCAAAAGTGAGAAGTTACAATCTCAGGGTTTGGAAACAGATGGAGACCAGGATGATATTAATGGTGCAGTCACTGGTGGCTATGGGAGCTTGGGAAAGTTACCTAATCTCCCTAAGCCTCAGTTTCTTCTTTGAAATTGAAAAACAACCATCACCACTACCACAGCAACAGCAAAACTACCTTTCTCATAGGTATTATTGTTTTATTTTCTGAGAATTAAATGAATACCATTTGTCACATTCTTAGCACAGTGCCTGGTACATAGAAAGCCCTCAAGCCTGATAGCTGCTTTTTACTAGCACACATATCACCTCCAGCATTATTACTATTGTAGAAATTGCTCTGGGAGTTGTATGCAGGTGAGTCAGAGGTAGGGGACAAGCTGGAGTAAGGGACACTGCTTAGGATACCTTTGGAATAATCTAAGGAAGAATATTCTATTTTTATTATTTGTTTTTGGTCCAGTACCCAGCTGTCATTCAGAAGGAATAAAAAAAGTTTATGGAATAAATGAAAAGGAAGACTGAGCAGAATTTAGTGATTGATTAGCTTAGAGAAACCAGGGGGACAGTAAAAGATGACTTCAAGGCTTCATGCTTGGGGGGCTGCAGAGTTCTGGTTCTGTTGACACAAGGAAAACACCCCTGGCTCTGCTTTCTCAGACCATTGCTCACCTGACATCTTTGGATGGTCAGCCGCTCTTCCAATTTCATTCATTAGCTCAGTGACTGTGTGTGCACATCTGCCAATTTGTCTTTTTCCAGAAAGCCTTGTCATAACCATAATGGAGGCATATTCAAATTTAAAAACTTCAAATTTTTGAAGTCTCAGATGCCACTTACAAATTGGTTCTAAATACCTCTCTCTGGTTGTTTCCAAATCTCATTTTATTTGTGGGTCATGTAGATGTCTCTGGAAAGACTATGGCATCCTATGCCTCTGTTTAGGGGCATTGATAGAATCCTTCACTTTACGATTAATGTTGTGTTTGAAACCAAACATTCTTATGGCTTCTCAATATTATGTAATTGCCACTTTCTCTTCTTTTTATATACAGAATAATATTTTGGGTCTCATATCACAAACAGACAACCAAAACTGGCTCAGCTTTTGGCTCTTCTTTTCCTGCTAAAATGGTACTTCTACTTTAACTCTGAAGACAGAGAAACCTGGGAATGTGACCTGAGATCTTGTTCTTAACCAAGTGATCTGTCCACCATGAATGCCTGATTTTAGTACAAGCCTAGAGCGGTTGGAGCTGAAACCATGGTTCCCTGTTGTTGTTTTCCTTTTTCCTTGAGTTTGATTATTCTGATTACTAAAAATGCCTTGCTGTTTGACAAAGAACAGGAATTTTGAGATTGCTCTGGGGCTAGGTTAGCCCAGTTCAAGGCTCTGCCAACATTTAGAGAGATTGTTTTTTAGAATGGAACTTTTTAAAAAATGTTTATTTTTTTATTTTTGAGAGAGAGAGAGAGAGAGAGAGAGAGAGAGAGAGAGAGAACAAGCAGAGGAGGGGCAGAGAGAGAGAGGGAGACACAGAATCTGAAGCAGTCTCAAACTGAAGCAGAACTCAAACCCACAAATTGTGAGATCATGACCTGAGCCCAAGTTGGACGCTTATCCCACTGAGCCACCCAGGCACCCCTAGAGTGTACCTTTTTAATAAGTGCCTTATATGAAAACAAGTGACACATCATAAATGAGTTGAGAGTGCTCTCTACTAGTGAAAATGGTGGAGGGTTGATCCATTCAAACTCTTTGCCTAGTTGTACTTGGGATCCAGGGCACACATCTGTGAGACAGCTCTCCCAGATAAGGGGAAGTAGAGCAAACCCCACTGCCTGTCAGGATGGCTGTCCTGATCTCAGCTTCACTAGCTCCTGAGGTCCTGCCAAAGAATTTAGTAAGAACTCATGTAGACCTGGAGGCCAAAGTTGAACAGAAAGAGTCCCTGCAGTAGCACACATGTGGCCCTTCTTCTCCTTCTCTCTCCTTGTCCCCTAGTCTGTGTGTGTGTGTGTGTGTGTGTGTGTGTGTGTGTGTGTTTCAGAAATAGTACATAAGTGATGGGAAATTAAATGTCTCTGTGGGAAAAAGCAGTGTTTCAGGTTCTCAGCATTTTAGTCAGCTGCTGTCATATTTTTCCAGACTGTAAATGTATTTTGAAGCTATTAAAATCTATTCATAGTGATGAAAAAAGGTAGGAACTCAATGGTTCTTTCCCAATTGCTATTTGTCCAATAACAAATACCTAAACACTTTAATTAGCCTTTTTATTTCCCCTATGGCGGCAAAATAATCCTCCTCATCTATGTGGGGGAAACAAATCTGTGCTGGGAACATAGCAAGACAAAAACCTCCCTGGGCTAGTCTGTTTGTCCAAGAGTATGGATTTTGGCAGCTGCTTTAAGAGTTTGGCTCCCTGATGAGGGCGCTGGTCTCTTTTGGGTGTGGGAAAGGAGAGGTAGAGAGCCCGGGAATCTCTTTTAAATCACAGACAAAAGGAAACCAGGAAGTAAGGAGAAATTACTTCAGTCTGCTCATAGCTCAGGATGTTAAAGGCAGTAACCTCAGCTGGTTGGTTAATCATTAGCAAAAAGGAAAGAGCAGCGGAGGTCAGGACTGGCCAAACCACAGAGACGGACTTGACGCAGGGAGAGAGCTCCTGGAAGAGGCAAGATGTGATCTTTCCTGGTGTTAACCTCTTTCTTGTATTAACTTTTCCTTGGGACGTAAAGCAAGATAACCCTTTGTGTTCCCAGACATTTGTCTAAATAAAGCCCTCTTAATTTTGTTTTTGCTGTGGGATTCCTAAGCAGACCAGAAGAAAAGGCATCTTCCCTGAGCAGCTGCCCAGCTCCTGCTCAGTTTTGCTCTAGGGCAGCCGCTCTGGCCACAAAAAGCAAGCAGGTGAGTGTCCCCAAGCGGGGCTCGCGGCAGGCAGATCTGCCCCATTGTTGTGAAACAGGGCTTTGCACGCTCTCCGAAGCCAGGGGAATTGGTGCTGACTTCCAAGTTGCCCGGTGGAAGAAGAGAGTGGATCTGCAGAGACTGAAAGGAGAGGGAGAAGCCCCTCTCCTCTCCTCCCTCCCAGGGCACCATGGGCAACATTTGTGTGAGGTTCTTGACGTACTTGAAGCCCTGTCTCCCATGCCTGTTCCAGGAGGCCGACAAGCCGGTGGTGATTGAGAACCCAGTGGCCCGCTGCTCCCCTGATGCTTGCAGGTCACAGAGTCAGGAGCTCAGGAGAAGCCGTGGTCACCTCTTTGTGGCTCTATTTGATTACCAGGCTCGGACTGCAGAGGACCTGAGCTTCCTCGCGGGTGACAAGCTCCAAGTCCTGGACACTTCCCAGGAGGGCTGGTGGTTCGCCAGGCACTTGGAGAAAAGGGTAGATAGCTCTGGGCAGCTGCTGCAGGGCTATATTCCTTCTAACTATGTGGCTGAGGACAGGAGCCTGCAGGCAGAGCTGTGAGTAGTACAAACCCATACTTTATTTCTCAACTCTCTGAGGGCGGGTAATGAGTTTTCCTTCTTATCTGCAACCCCCTAATTTCCAAAGAGCTACCCAGAAAGTATGAGGAAGTACTGGCAAGAACCTTTTAATTGAAACACACCTCTACTGTTAAGAGTGAAACTGGCAGGTAATTGTTGTTGAAATGACTTCTATTACCATATGTATACCCGTGGGCCCTGGGTGTTCATCAACTTTAACAAATGGTGCATCTAATACTCTACCTTTTCTTTGGCTGTAAAATATGTCTCACTTTAAAAAGAGAACTGCATTTCATTTGCAGGTATATCATATATATAAATCACACCTTCAAATCTGAAGTTCAGCTCTCTCTCTTTTAAAACTTTTGAAGCATCAACGCCCAACCCTAACTCTAATTTTAATCCCTTTTCATCCTGTTAGACACACACAGAGCCAATTAACATCAGGGTAGCATTTAGAAGATGCTAATTTTTCACTGCATTTTCCCAGTGAAATAATGACCAGACATTTTTCTTTGAGTTCCAGATATGGACTTAGGCCACACAAATTGTGATAGTTTGGGGTTTTATTATGATTAGAAACTGACCAGCTATAGATATTTAGTAAGTTTTAACAACAACAACAAAAATATAATGGCTGTATTTCCCCAGAGGAGGAGATAATGACTAATCTGATATTTGGAAAAAAAATTCTATGATTATGGTGGACCCACAGAGGAAAATTTTATATACACCCATCCATCCATCCATGCAAGTGCCAGGCACAGCAGAGGCATGGTAAGTGGAGGAGGGGTAGGTTATGCTAGTGGTGGTTGAACATAAAGTGGATAAAGCACAGTCTTGACAATGGATACTTGAGGTTTGGTGGGTTGAGAAGCAATTGGGGACTATTACTGGCCCTAACTTTGTTACTGCCTGGTTCCAGTGAAACCCAAGACTGGGAATGTCTCCCAGGACTTATTTTATGGAATGTATCTTGGTAGAGGAACCACTGAGGATTCACTTATTTTCTCATATGTTTCTCTTTTTTATGAGAATTGCAGCATCCTTTACTGGCCTAAGGAATAAAATGGCAAGGAAGTGCCAATCAGGCAGTATTGCTGCATTCCAAACTCAAATACAAATACAAAAGGAAGGTTGGTAATTTTTGAAATTCTTTCCAACACTAGGAACCTATATGTGTTAAAAAAAAAAAAAAGGGGGTCTTATTTTATGCCTAAATAGAAATGAATTGAAATCTAGACTTTTGGTGAATGGAATTGATCAATTCTCAAATGAGAAAATCATCTGTTTGAACATGTATTTTCTGTGATAATCTATAGGAAATATCTTTATTCACCAAATGCTTGCTTATGTGCATTTATGTTTTCACTACTATATGATTTATGGATATGGTATGATAATGTATGGTATTATGTATGTTTCAAATTCAGCAAAACATATGCATACTAGATAAATAAATACTAGAATATTAATACTAGAGCCTTGAATTCATAATCTAATATTTTTATCATTCTATTTATTTATTTTTTTCATCATGATAAGCGGACTCTTTAATTCCCATCTCCTATTTCCCCCATCTTCCCATCCACCTCCCCTCTGGTAACAACCAGTTTGTTCTCTATAGTTAAGAGTCTGTTTCTTGGTTTGTCTCTCTTTTTTTCTTTGCTTTTCTCTTCTGTTTCATAAATTTCATATGAATGAGATCATATGGTACCTGTCTTCCTCTGACTGATTGCACTTACATTATACTCTCTAGCTCTATCCATGCCATGTTGCAAATGGCAAGATTTCATTCTTTTCATGGGTGAATAATATTCCATTATAGAAATGTATGAGATACATGTATATATATACATATATACATGTATATACATGTATATATGTATATATATGCATATACATGTATATGTATATATATGTGTATATATACATATATCTCAGATACATATATCGTATCTTTATCCATTCATTTATTGATGGATACTTGGGCTGCTTCCATAGTTTGGCTATTATAAATAATGCTGCAATAAATAAAGGAGTGCATGTATCCCTTTGAATTAGTGTTTTTGTATTTTTTGGGTAAGTACACAGTAGTATGATTACTACATTTTAGGATAGTTTTATTTTTAGTTATTTGAGGAAGCTCCATACTGTTTTCCACAGTGGCTTCACCAGTTTGCATTCCCACCAGCTCTGCAAGAGGGTTCCTTTTTCTCTACAACTAGGCCAACATTTGTTGTTTCTTGAGTTTTTGGCTTTATCCATTCTGACAGGTATGAGGTAATATCTCATTGTAGTTTTGATTTGCATTTTCCTGATGATGAGTGATGTTGAGCATCTTTTCATGTGTCTGTGGGCCATCTGTGTGTCTTTTTTGGAGAAATTTCTGTTCATGTTTTCTACCCATTTTTAATTGAATGATTTTTGGCGGGGGGGTGGGTACTGAGTTGTATCAATTCTTTGTATATTTTGGATACTAACCTTTTATCAGATATGTCATTTGCAAATATCTTCTCCCATTCACTAAGTTGCCTTTTAGTTTTGTTGATTTTTTCCTTTGCTGTGCAGAAACTTTTTATTTGATGTAGTCCTAATAGGTTATTTTTGCTTTTATTTCCCTTGCTTCAGGACACATATCTAGAAAAATGTTGCTAGGGCCAGTGTCAGAGAGATAACTACCATGGTCTTTTCTAGGATTTTTATGGTTTCAGGTCTCACATTTTGGTCTTTAATCCATTTTGAATTTATTTTTGTGTATGGTGAAAGAAAGTGGTCCAGTTTCATTCTTTTGCATGTGGCTGTCTAGTTTTTCCAACAATATTTGTTGAAGAGACTTTTTCCCATTGTATCTTCATTTCTCCTTTGTCAAAGATTAATTGACCACATAAATGTGGGTTTATTTTTGGGTTTTCTATTTGATTCCAATGATTTATGTGTCTGCTTTTTGCCAGTACCATATTATTTTAATTTTTGTTTTTCTTTTTCAAGACTGCTTTGGCTATTCGAGGTCTTTTTTGGTTCCATACAAATTTTAGGGTTGCTTGTTCTAGTTCTGTGAAAAATGCTGTTGGTATTTTGATAGGGGTTGCATTGAATGTGTAGACTGCTTTGGGTAGTAGAGATATTTTAACAACATTTGTTCTTCCAACCCATGAGCGTGGAATGCCTTTTCATTTCTTCATGTCATCTTGAATTTCTTTTATCAGTGTTTTATAGTTTTATATTTGCAAATGACATGATACTATATATAGAAAGCTCTAAAGACTCCACCAAAAAAAACCCCACTAGAACTGATAAATGAATTCAGTAAAGTCGCAGGATACAAAATCAATGCATAGAAATCTGTTGCATTCCTATACACTAATAATGAAGCAGCAGAAAGTGAAATTAAGAAGACAATCCCATTTACAATTGCACCAAAAACAATAATATATCTAGGAATAAACTTAACCAAAGAAGTGAGAGACCTGTTCTCTGAAAACCATAATGTACTAATTTTACATACATTCAATTCATATTACTGCTTAGGATCTCTGTTTGCTCATCTGTAAGGTCCCTGATTTCACCCAGATCTCTGGATTCTCTGATTGTCTGGAAACATGAGCTTTTTTTTTTTTTTTTTTTGTGGAACATGAGCTCTTAATGTTTCATATGTAGTGGTTTAGCTACATACTTGACAGACAATGCTGAGGAAAGCAAGTAAACTGAAATAAAATAAGCAATTCAAAAGTGATAACTTTCTGGGTAACAGGCTCAAGCACAGTGTCCTTGCTTATTTGGATTCTATTTGCCTAACAAACACAAAATAAGACAACTAAAATTTTGTGACTATTTTTTATTCTTATGGGCTATCTGTAACCAAGAATACTTTTCTTTGATGCACATAATTCCTGACCTCATTCCTCTTGGAATTTGTTCTCAGCAGTGTTCCAATGTGTCACTACCAACCTATATCTTGGGATCTTCATCCACTGGAATAAAAACTTGTTGCCCAGATGTTGCCACTGGACCTCCTGGTTAGTTCAGGCCATTTCTTTTCTTTCAAGTGTACGCCATGGCCTTCATCTATGATCCTAGGTTGTTAATGAGGGTGCTTGCCACCAAAAGGCTAAATTCCTTCAATACTTTTAGTGCATGGAGCTGTCACCTCTAGAATTCTAGTCCATTTCAGGTAGTGGTGATTTTAACTTAACAATTAAGCAGTTAACAGTCTTATGAGTGAAAGTGTCTGAGTGGCCCACACAGTGCCTTAATACTTGGGGAGTTACACAAAGATGTCTTTTTTCATTGAGTTTTTCAAAGTTATACTTCATTTTTTACTTTCAAATACTGTGGAAGTTAATGTAGGTTTTTTTGTTTTTTGTTTTTTTTTTTACGATGAGCTCAGAATATAGTATTAAGATTATTATTTACATTTACATATGTGAGATTAGAGGCAATGGGAAACCAGTGAGAATTAAGTCATCTAATTTCTAATTAGATTAGTTAAACACAATGCCTATTAGTATTCATTTGTTTGTGTCTTTATTCTTGAGTTGTCATAATAAGAAAACAATGCAAATACTTTTGGAGTTATTAGTGTCAGGGCAAACCAGTTGAAAGTTTTAGCATTTGGCTTTTTTTTTTTTTTTTTTTTTTTTTTTTAATACTAAGAAGTACAGATGTTAAAAAAAGAACTATAGTATTGTTAAAAGATAAACCAATTTAATACTTGTTTGTTATTCAACTTTGAAGTGCTTTACCTTTTCTGAATATCTTACGTTAAGTGATATAATAAACCCGTTCTTAATGACTTATTTTGTCTCTAGGAAGAATCATTGTATTACCTCATCTTCAATTTGAATTCCTAGATTCTTTCATAGATGAGTGTTTTTCTTCAACATTTCAACATGGAATTTCTCAAAACCCTTACTCTTAGTGTCTGATTACTCAGAACTCCCTTTATATTTTTTATTCGCAGTGTTTTTAGAGAT